GCTGGGCTAACTTTCCAAATGTTCTGCTTGAGGAACGTTTTTGTGCTTGATTTTGTGTCTTGTTTTTTTAAGCTAGCATTAGTTTTACTTACTAATGCTGTTTAATTTGGTGTAGAAATATAGACAAATTTAGGGTGCTTCTGTTTGCCACTGTTGCATTGGTCCCACCACAAAAGTATCAGTTGTGGTTTCATGAGTTTCTCATCCCCTTGGAGATTTCCAGAGAGTTTGATACAGTAATTAACACTAGTGTACTTTTTCATCATTGGAACCTAAAGCAACTAAACGCATACAAGCTTTTCTCAAAACTGAGAGCAGCTTAGACAAAAGTTGTATTAAATCGCCTCTCCAGAAATCTGCATGTGCTTACTGTATGTCATCAATAATCCTGCCGAATTAGGATTGTTCTGCTTCTGTGCTGTTGGTCAAGGTGACTACACACTAAGGGAGGCTGATCCTGTGTGTACTACGCAAAAGCTGCTCATGTGGTAATTAACACAGCTTCTTACTAGACTAATAGAGGTTCTGAGAAAGCAGAAGCAAACAGATGGAGTGGGTGTTGGCATTGCACAGCAGGGGTGCTTAGCTCTTCATAAGTGGGTCAGTAATCTAGAGCAGAGGCTAAATAAGTACAGAGGTCCTTTTGACACTAGCCCTCTAAGTAATTTGCAGTTATCTTGCTGAGTCCTTCCAACAAGCCAGTGGGATTCTAATCACATAATCCCTGTGTATCCTGAAACTAAATGTTGGCATGTGAGTTCACTTTTCTAAAATGCATAATGAATTCAGTGACATTTTAGATCCTGTCTTCATGGTCTCCCTTGCAGTTTTGGTATGGGCACAAGAAGCAGTCAGTGGAGAATCAGAGCATGAGCATCGTTCTTCTAATGGAGCAGTTCGTTCCTTAGTAGCATGGATTATTCTGCTGAAATAGAGTCGCAGAACCGTGGCATGGTTTGGGTTGGAAGGGACTTGCTGCTTTACGTCAGGGTAAACAACGGCACAAAAGCGAAGTGGTGTTGAGTATTGATGAAAAGCGATCTGGCATATTGCTGTATGAAGTAAGGTTTTGAGCCCAACTTTCTTATATCCAGTTCAGAGATCCATTGCTGGGGTGCTGGTATCATGCAGGTGCTTTAGAATCTCAACTGAAATGCAGCCGTTGCTTTCAGCACGGAGAGAAGGTTAATGCTCCTGTCAAGCTCTTGCTTTCCAGCCTGCTGTGCCATTAGAGTTTTAGTATTATCTGAAAAACGTAACAGTTCAATATGTATGCAGAGACTGTAATCTTACAGGTGCTCTCTGTCCTTCTTGTTTAATATGAGGATGGTTTTCAGAAGCTTATTTTTGCTTTTCTGCAGCCTTCCAGTTTTGACTTAAGTGAGAGTGAGTGGTGGCTCAAATCCTTACTTTTTTAAAATATGTTGATAATCTGTGGAATTTATGGTCCACAATTAAATTACTAAATCACCTGGATTCTGCTTCCAGTGTGGGATGGATTCTGAGTTTTCATACAATTCAGAGGCAAAGAAAAGCCTTACAATGGGTTCCATGGTTTTGGGAACGTGGAAGATTGTGAGAGTGTTAAGAATGTGAAGCAGACAGCCGCAAATGAAGTGGTTGGTTGGAGTTACTAACCAAATTCACTAACACTGGTGTTTCTTGGAGCTTGTTGACATGAGGTAATATGTCAAATATTTTAAAGCTATAGTTGTTGCATATCTTTTGCTTCAGTCAATAGTGAGAGTTGATAATTTTTTAAACTGCTGTCATGGAACTAATCATACCCTGATTCTTCTGGGGAAATAATGTGGTGGCATTTAAGTGTTGTGTTCAGAGTACCTTTTTGATAGTTTTCCTTTAAGAAAGTAAAAATGTGGAAGTATGTATTGACTGCTTCCGAAGGCAGTGACGTTTTGGGGTTTGTTGTTTGATTGGAGTTTTTTGTGGTGTAAATATCCAGGAGTTTCTTTTCTGTGTGACTCCTGAGCCTAAAAGACTGTCCTTGATGTTAAAGTGAATAATGCTATTGACAGTTGGCTACTTCTTATACTTGCTTACAGTGTTCAGGAAATAAATTCAACGTATCTTAGTTCCGTTGTATTTCCAGTGTATTTTTCAAGGGCTCAGATCCTTAAAACTGCAGAATCCGATGAAGTTCATCAAACATGTGAAAGCAAGATTATTTCACAAGATCAAAATCCTTTAGAGAAGCTGTGTCTTTCTCTGTTATACTAATGTTATGCTTTTGCTTGCTTGTCCTGCAGCCCTTTTGTCATTCCCTGCAGTGGGTTAGCTCTGTGGGTAGGATAAGCAGCCTAGACATGGCACATGTTAAAATTGTTTTCTGAAGGCTGGCTCTCTTTACTAGTTGGTCTGAGCCTCCATACATGGAGCTTAGTGGTGGTGATCACAGTGTCTGCAAAGGGGTTAACAGCGCTAGTACACTGGAGCAAGAAATGCCCTGTTTAAAGATGGGACAACTGGCTTGGAACTGCTATTTGAGAGCAAACAGATCTTTTAAAATTGTGGCATTTTGATGCCTTTTTCTTCACAGAACTGAGTAAAAAGTAATTTTTAATTTAGGTGCAAAGCACACAGTTTTTCTTGAAACCTGTTCTACCAGCTACCATGTTTTCTTGAACTCCTTGGGAATGTTTGTCAGGAAAGTGATCACACACCACATATGTAACCTAGTTTTGAGAATGCTTTTGATCACCAGTAGAGCAGAGTTGTCAAGCTGATGTGGCTTCTAGAATAGATTGTTTTCGAATTTCATCCCAAAAATAGGTTATTTCAGAGGATAGCTATACAAAAACTCCTATTTTTTTCCTTCTTGGGAAGGAAATGGGTGATTTCTACA